CCAACGATTTCCAAAATAAACGTCTCGACCCAGAGACAGCACATCTCATTAGAAAGAAACACATTCTTTTCGCCTAGTGATAGATCGCTGTCAGTCACGGGATCTTATATGATCCTTCCGGGTGTACAAAAGTGTTCCGTGTTGACTGAAGAGCAAAAAAGCATTCAGAATGCATAGGGAGGCGGAGTTCGGTGCGAGGCGGTAGGCTGCGTGGAAAATCGAGGGTGTTCTCTACCCGCCCGAATGATCCCCGGCGAATAAATAATTCATGATGTTCCCAAGGACACGACCGCGACGGCAGAAATATGGCGAAGAAGAAAAAAAAAACGCGCGTTGACAGTGGGGTCCTGTTTGACCGGGATGACGTTCCTGGGACCGACAGGAGGCAGAGTACCGTGAACCGAACGAGGTGAAAAATGGGTGGACTGTTAAACAGGATTTTCGATGTGTGTTGACCGAGGTAACGGAAAAACATGGAGGTCCACGAAAGAAAGCACGGAACTGATCCTCTTCCATCGACCTTCGTCCTTCGGTCGTGATCTTCGTGGGATCGATGAGGACCATTTTTTTTTTTTTGTGGATGTTGTTGTTCCCCTTCCGGGTTTTCATGTTACACTCACAACTGATCGATACTTTTTTTATAGCATTTTTATCGCCTCGATGAAGTTGTTTTGTTATTGTTACGCTTGTATTCACTGCGGTACACATTGTTCAGCTGGAGGATATTGATAAAACGTCGTTGTGTAGTCTGAACACTTATTGGACGGCGAGTTCGCGTTGAAACTTCACTCTGTAGCTGGTCAATATGTGGATTTTAACCCTTTCGATGTAGCAATACTATCGACGAATGTCGTAGTATACACATTGCCCACAAATGGTTAATCCTTTCGAGGTGACGAAGTATTCGTTTTACCTTTTATGCTAATACTACGTATAATTAATCTCATTTCGAATAAAATTGAGACCGATTCTAGTAATAGTTATTCCAATATACACGGTCCTCGAATCGTTTCGAGCAGTGTTAACACCGTTTAGAGATTGATTGTTCGTGAACCTGAAAAGTAGATTTAAGGTTCGAGAACAGACGGAACGATAGGCGTGTGTTGCATGCCAACCGGTGAACGAACGGGTTAACGGTATCGATTTCAGTCGAGTCGGAACGAAAACAGTCACCCGGTATACGTGACAGCCGTGCGTTATCCTAGGATCTGAGGAAATAAACGGTTTCCTGAGTGAAACGTGCTACCGCAACGGCGTGGGCCCGCCACGAGGGACAGATAAAACATGCGGCGTCGCGTCGCCTTAAGCTTCTTCCACGCAGAACCGATGCTTCCACCGGCACGGTTCATAAATATTCATGAACTTCCGTAATAAAAAAATTCGTGAATGGAAAAAGGGATTGTCCTTGGTCGGACCGTCTTGGAGGAAGAGGAACAACAGTTTGGTTATACATATATTTACCTCGTCGTTTCTGGCCTTGGTGTGAGCAATTACAGTCACTTCGAACCGTTTCCACTTAGGGAAAGGTTGCCGAATTCGGACCATTTGTTGAGTTGAATTATCGGTAAAGTTATCGATAAATGTCGACAATATCGAAATGTTATCAATATCTCGACCGTGCCTTCCCTTGTAAGTTGAACCAGTACCATAGACAATATATGGTGCTTCAATATTAAATTAGTTAATACAGTCATCACTATCATACACATATTGTCTATCATACGGTGCAAATTACTCACACATGACAAGTTACAGTAGTGGGCCAACCTAGACGATAATACAAATTCGGTAACTTTCCTCTATAGAGATCAGTGCCAGCTTGTAGTACAATTTTCCAATCGAACGATAACAGTTGGTATGTAACCGTGGCCCGAGCAATTATTAACTGGCACAAATCAGATAGCACGCGTGGATGGTCCGAGAGTTTCAGAGAATAAGGTCACATTCTCGTGTCAAGTATTACTGGTTTTCCGCTCGGAGGAACTTTCAGATCGGCAGGATGCGGGTCTAGAGAGGAGGATCGCCTTGTTTATGGGGCGTTCACACGAACGCCCTCGGACTTCACCGCGCTTAATGGACCGTGAGAGAACGGATGGCGACTATACTTTAGGATTCGTAAACTTCGAGCACGTTTCGTCGAGATCGGTGAATGGATGCGTCCTTCTCGGTGAATGGACTTCCAAGAAAGAATCCTTTCGACCAGAAACTTGAATTTACCTTTACCAATAAATTTGCCAATAAATTGTATACACTCCAAAACAGATGTTTTGTCGTCTAGTAGGCTACTTAATAGCAATGTACAAAAACTATCCGAGCTTTCCCATGGCATAAACTGCTGCTACAATTAACTCTGGAACGAGGGCGCAATTAAATGACTGGGTCTTTTTGACCCGAGTCTTTGAGAACTTCATTCGGCTCAACAGCTTCTGATAACCAGTTTAAATTAGTAATTGCTCCTTTTTGTTATTTCCAAACGGGTAAAAAAACTTTTTATTTACTATTATATAGTAATTTATTTATATAATATGATACGTATTTCATTATGTCCCCACTCTATTTTTTATTATTTAGTAAACTTTAAAAAAATCATTAGAATAAGGAATAATAATTCAGTTATATGACATATAATAAAATAAGTATTACAATAATAAAAACTATTCTAAAACGAGAATAATAAAAAAATAATAAAACATAGAGTGGGGACAGCACAAGAGGAACTATAACTTGGGTGTAACTACGTTCGAAAAAAATAGGTGTGACTACCTTAAATCAATTCAAATAAAAAGAAAGCCAATTCACGAAGAAATTTTTTTAGAAAATATATTTAAACGGAACGATGCATGGCTAGCACCGAAAAATAAATTGGAGTACACTCGTCCGTTTCGCCGATCGGCCACGATGATTCACCGTGTTTCGTAATCTCGTTCGTGGAAAATCTCGCGGTAATTGTCTCCGACAAACGGACCGACCGTGAAAACGTGATTCACTCGTACTTAGCGAAACACACACCTGGAAACCGTACGGATTAGAAAACTCGTTCGTGACCGTCGACTGCTTTCGTTTTCCATTTTCACGCCACAGTGAAACGACGGGGCCTTGGCTGGTTTTTCTCGCGACGACAATGCCGCGGTCCAGTTCCAAGAGGGGAAGGAGGGGATGATTTGAAATTCGCGACACTTTCACGATAATGATAGTAGCCAGTCCATAGGGAAACAACAGAGAAAAGAAATCAGAGAAATTTCTCGGGGAACGAGGTACACTTTTGGATCCAGATACTTCTCATTCAAGCTGTCTAAGTACATACAGTACATCCTCGACGAGTGCTCGAAGGCTTCTCGTCACTGATAAGGAAAGGTTCCAAGGTGTAACGCTGATTTTTTAATGATACGTTTAACCACGTAAAAATCACACTTGTTCTTAACACCCTGTATATACCGCCCGATTAATTTATGCAAGCGCCGCGTGCCGATTTCCAGAGCCCAGTCGATCGTCGAACCGAGGCGAACGAGTCGGAAGAATTTATGTTGCGATTTTTAGTTCGCACTTTCTCGACACGGTGGATACTGGTACCCGTGTTGAACAGTGTTCGCCCAGATTGATTGGGTTCTCTCGATGGTAGTTAATTATCTTGCAAGTAGAGTATCCCAACTTCGAGTCACCGATTTTAATGAAACTTTCAGGACATGTAGATTCTTCTTTAGAAATTGCCCTCCATGTAAAGGCAGACTCACGAAAGTTTTTGAGTCCTCTCATTAACAAAGTATCTGCTCCAATTCCCTGGTCACGCAGGTGTCATTGTAACACACGAACTCATTATCCACCCCAATGTTATCGAATGTTTCCCCTCGTAGCTCTATCTTTAGCCCAATTGATGGGTAGGTCCGTAATACGATACCCCGAATACCAAAAAAAGAACGTTCTCTTGAAAAGCCTGTCGTTGAAAGATATTCCCGTGACTCCTATGTTTAGCCCCGTGGATCGATGCGAATATGGAAATAATCTTGTCTATTCGCGGACCATCAGCTGGTCTCCGTGGTAACCAGGTGGGGGCGTGAATATGTATCGTTCCTGGTCAAGCACTTGGCCTACCGGTAGCTGTCCACTATAGACCCGTAGCATGTCGTCAGGAATGCAGGTGAAGGACCTCCCTAAGGGGGGGGGGGCAATAATGTCTACGCCAATTCGCTGTCAAGACCCCAAGCATTTCAGGAATCCGGTCGATCGTGTCCTTCCGATACCAACGTCCTTCTAAGTCTCTGATAAGGCATTCCTGAGCCCAGGCGTTTTATGATTTCGTTTCCATTTTGTATGCCTTCTACGTGACTCTCTGGCTCGTGCTTGATATAACAGTCGAGATAGTAGCGCGGTTCGGTCGCGTAACGAGGGTGTCGACTACTCCAGCCAGGTTCCAGCCATTCGAAATTCCATCCATTGGCGTTAATTCGTTTCGTTGACTGTGACAACGATCGACCAGGTCGTACCGTTTCTTCGAGATGGGTATCAGGATCAGGGACTTCTTTACGAGCTGCGTAAAATAGGAGAGGACGTTGAGGACAAGCCATTGCTACTGGAAAAATCCTGACGTCTATTTCGATCGTATAGTCCCCCGGGCGAAAATAGTCACGGTTGACCGTGGGTATTCGGTGCCATTTCGGGCGGTAATTGCGGGGCTGAATCGAGAAAGCCGTAGAGAGTACCATAGGGATGGTCCGTGATACCGTGGTCCCATCTTTAACTCCTACGCAGGTTCGCTGGATTGACGTCAATCCCTCGGCCAGGCTTTACGTGCCTTATCCACTTGCCACGAGATTATACCGTGGCTTGATAAATTCGGTGACGTTTCGCGACCACAGAGTTGCCAGGGGAACATCAAACAGCCTCGGGAAAGAGAACCGTCCAACCCACTCGATCAACGTGAATGTCACTGGACACGAACCGAGCTGGGATGACGTACCGGCGGATAAATTATGCACGAACTACGGGGTACCTTTTAATTAGATATGATTGAGGGTAAAGGTCGTATATCCTCAATTACCCCTGGGGACCACCGATCCAGGCGGATAGGAAGCAATGGAATCGCTTGCTGGTCGTCCTCTCTTTGATTGATCCTCATTAACCCCTAATCCTTTGATTGTTCCAGGCGAGTTGTATGTCGAGGACCTAGCCGAGAGACGGGTGGTGTCCATCAGAATGGGCTGGCTGTGGGTCGAGGGCACACCGATGAGGCTACCGCTCAGGGCGTTGAACCTGCGTCAGGCGGCGCCCAGCTTGTGCCAACCGCACGCTTTGGCCCTTGGATTCACGCTGAGCAACTCGCAGGATCATACTCTTGCGACATTTTGGGTGAGTTAGTTATACATCGTCCGATGAATCGAGTCAGTAAGTATAAACAACGGGGGATGATAACGTAGTGATATGGCTACACTGGGATCGAAAGGGTTGAAACAGGCTTCCCGTCCTCTAGAAGTTAACGTACGGTGACATACAACTGACTGACGCAATTGAGTTAAAACTCACTACACGTCAACAAGACTGTTTAAACCATCCAGCTACCTAACGACAACACATCACTGTACAGAACGGAAGTTAACAGTTAGATGGCAACTTAATTATTCACTCACCCTCGTAATTAGATAATGAACTTTGCACAGCCCCAAGTGGACCAGATCCCAAATACACCTTCCAAACTGTAACGATACAAAACTACCAACCGATCGAAAGCTAGAATCAAGAAGGAAATCGAAAACAGTCAGGACAATTGAGACAGAATAATTCCCGACGCAACGTAATCGCATGTAAACGGCCTTTATCTTCAGCACGATCCGTTTCCTTGCCTCGTATAAACACTTTCTCGCCAGGCTCTCTCGGAGCTCCCGTTTTGCTGAACGGAAACCGTCTAATTACCAGTGAAGAGGGGGGGGGGGGGGGGCGTTCGATTTCTAGGCCCGTTATACAACAATCCAGCAATGGTTCCATGTCCCGGCCGATTCCTAGAGTTCGCCAAAAATTTCGATTCGTCTGACTTTCTCCGCCTCCCTACTTAGCATAACGAGTCTCGAACCGTCCATGTCCCCTCGTGTTGCGAGGACCTAAATTTTAGGTCTGGTTTAGACTCCTGGGTTAGGTTCTAAAATATCCTCCGGGAGATCCAGGCTCTCGAGCTTGCTAGATAGGGTGATCGATGAAGCGGAACGGGGGAATCTCGCGAAGGTCGATTGGATAAGATAAGGACGAACGCCGAAGGACGTCCACGAGTGACGTTATGGCTAACGTCCGTCCGCGGCAGGGAAGGTAATAAGGTCAGTAGGCAAGGTCAAAATCCGCCTCGGCGCTCGACGATAAACGGACGCGCGTGGGAGATCCTCGCGCCATTCTCCCATGACCCGGCATTGTCAAGGAGTCTCACCGTTCCTCCTCCTTGCCTGGCGAACGAGTTCCTTTGCCCCACGTTCGCGCTTAGTCACCCAAAGGACGTCCGCGATTTCGTGTCTCGTAACATCTTGATCGAAGACGAAATTGCCGCTGGGAGCTTGTTTGGGAAGACTCGAAGTCCGGAGAGGATCTCGTTTACGAAATTGCTTGGGTCGAGGACGCGAAGGTTTCTCATCCAATACAATAGGGGAAACTGTGGTGATGCTATAGATAAACTTCGTTGTTGGACTTGGTGGAATATACGGAACTTGGTCGTGAAATCGATTGGGAGCTAAGGTACTTGTATTTTGGGATTCAGATAGGGTGCCTGTGGTGACTAGTTCTAGGAGCTATCTAAACCTTGGTTCGGTTCAATATTTTCTTCGCTTCAAAGTCGATTTCCCTGTTAATCAGAGAAATACCAGGTACCTGGCTGATTGCTTCGGTTAGAGTCTGATCGATTGATGCTTAATGTTCTAATATAAGATCGTTTTTCTTCGTTTCAGGCTGACACAGAGCCAATCTACTGGTCCTGGGTGCGAGCGATCGCGGCGGAGCTGGTCAGGCAAACACCGTTCCGGGCCCAACGTTGCCTGAACTTCCTCGAAATCTTGACCATCTGCCCGAGGGGGCCAGTTCCGCTGCCGGACAGCCCCACGGAGTCCAGAAGGCGGTCTCGAAGCGAGTTGCGCTGTTGGCCAAGCGATTCCCCGATGGAGAAGGACACCAGAAACGCGACCACGATACTGGAGGACTCGCGTAGACGTGCGAGGAGCGAGCTACGCGGTTGGTCGAGCAGTAACTCGAGCGACGAGGACCTGCTCGGGGAGTTCCGTAGTATACCGACGATAATAACGAAGGACCAGCCGGTGGTCACCAGAACCTGGGGCTGCAGCGAGAGCAGCGAGGGTAGCGACGACAGTCTTCCGTGGAGCGGAGTGTGCCGATCGAGCGTGGATTCCGTGGACTCAACGGTGTCCCTACCGGAACCAGAGACTAGAGAGCAAAGGATCCAGAGGTACAAAGAAGCGAGAAGACGCGAGAACGAGGCCAGAAGCCGAAGAGTTCTCGAGGAGGACGCGAAAAGGCGAAAAGCAAGAGCCGAGGAGAACAACAACGATATCCTGAAGACATACGGTCCCAGCAGATCCAGAAGCAGGATCTATTCCGGGAATGATAACGACGACTTCCGTCTGACGTCGACGAAAAAGGAGAACACTGTCGTCCATGACACCTCCATATTACGTAACCAGAAGAACATCATCGCCAGCAGTAGGCTACCGCCGGTGAAGCCGACAGAGTCCACGGTGAGATTCGAGGAAGACCAGCGGAACGAAGACGATAAGAGAAACAACAATAGCCCTAAGAATGGTAACACCAGTCCTGGGATACTCAGAACGGACATCAGCGAAAGACGAAGCAGAGCCAGGGAGAGAAGAAGTATTCGCGAAAAGGGGCAACTGCTACAAACGCAACAGATCACGTGCACTACCACCACGGTCGAGACGCTTCAGGAACGCAAGGAACGCCTGGCCCAAATGTCCTCCAGGATTCCAGTCCCTCGACAGCTAACCCAACCTTCGACCAAGCTACCAGATATCTGTAGCTCGCCGGTTCTACCGAAATCGTCGACCTCGTTATCGATCCTGGTGGAACCTCCATGCGAGGAGGACGTCGCCAGGCTACTGGAACGGTGTCAGAGGGTGGATCACTATGTCCCAGTCCGGGAGAAGCTGACATTGTTCGAGTCCCTGTCGAGACTAGGCGGTCGACTGGCCAGGAGCACCGAGGATCTAGGTCGAACATCCTCCAAGCCTAGTCCTAGGGAGAAGCAACGAGCCAGATCCCTTCACGATCTCAACCGAGGAGCCAGAGCTGTCCCTGTCAGGGAAATGTGTCGTTTCTTCGAGGGCGATGTGGAACACGATACGAACCAGAAGTCACCAATTCTTGCCAAAACGAGGTTCAGCGACCCTGTGACACCCACCAGGAGTACATGGAAGGATCCAATTTGTTCCAAAGGCAGTGAATCGCCCTGTGTCAGATCCTCGACGAGGAAAAAACATTATTTCAAATAGTGTCCATGTTACTGGCCCTTGTATCTTAGTGATCCCTTGTTCTAACTTTGTGGGAGTATTTTGTATTTCGACTTCTGCCCCCACCCCCCCCAAAAAAAAAATTGCTACCTGTTCGAAAGGTGAAATTGTTTAAGTGGTGAGATGAATTTCGACCCATCAGGTATGCGCTTGAAGGTTTAGGATGATGGGAGCAAAGAGGGAAACGTTGAACCCACCGGTTTGATACCGAACACGATCAATATTATCAGCCAGGACTTGGAACAAGCTGGCCGCGATGAATCGTCACACGCCGGGAGAAAGTCGCTGTCCAGGGCAGCTTTTTTTGCTCACTTTTGCTCTCCAGGATCCGAACTGTGCTCGATTCTCGGCGCAACCGAAGTTCCCGATCGACTGTTAAATATACACCGCGTGGCGTAACTGTAAAACCACCCTAAAATATTCAATCCTTACGTATTTAAGCAAAAACGAACCACTTTTTTCCTAGCTAATACAATCTATCCATGATTTTATAGTTATGTAGAAAGATAGTCTGTGAATGCAGAGTCGCCGTTTCTTTTGTTCTCTCGTGAATAATTTCTGTTTATTTATTTCGTTTCCGTGGTAAAACTACCGTCTCGACCGGAGACGAACCCGTGAACGTGATCCAACGAGCCACGGAAAATGAGCGTGCGCGAGTGGATTGAAAAAAGAAAAATGAGATAAGAGAGAGAGAGAGGGAATCGGAGAAACCGGTAATTTCCCATTCACCGAGCGATCGTCGCGATGCCTTGAACACCTGTCGAATGCAGGACGGTTCTCGGGCATGTTAACCCCTTTATTTTCGGCCCCGCGCGATCGTGTTCTCGTGATTGTTATTCGAACAAGCGCACGGCGTCTCAGTTTCCGTTCTTCTCTGTGTAATCGATCGAGATCCAAAGAACCGTGGTAGTTAATAATAGAGTGTGGGGTCGAGAGGTGCAAGCGAACGAAGATCAATTTTGGAAAAATCGGAAAATTTAAACCTGTATTGTACAGGTGTTTTTTTATTAGCGGTTGATTTATTTTTAACTTCTGAAGCAATTCTTCGATAATTAATGACAAATTTTATTAAGGTATACCTATAAAATATCTTTTCGCCTTTAACTCTCGCGCACTGTTCCATAAACTATCACATTCCTAATCCCTGATGTAAAATCGAGTTAAGGAAATATATTTGCATATCCTTCAGTTATAATACTCCATCGACGTCAAATTAATTTACAAATTTCTATAATAAAAAGTATCATTAAAAACATTGGCTTCGAATAAAATTGACCTCCAACAGTGTTCAAAAGTTAAAGTCTGTTGGCAGTTTCTTGAATCATTTTCAGCTCTAATTTACTCCAGTAATGTCTCTCAACTAGCAAAAAAACCGCATAACTCACGAGCTAATAAAATCATTTAATTCTGTAAAGACTCAAAATCGAAGATAGTTGGTATCACATCGTCCAAATACACGGTCGATCAATTGATTTTGTAAATAAACCCCTTAATTTCTCGCGTACCTAAAAGAGTCGCGATCACCTGGCCCACCGTGGAGCCGCGATTGTAAATATTTAGTCAAATTTAAATACGGTCGAATAACGCAGTCAGCTGTCGGTCGAATTTCGAGCATCCGTTTCGTGAACCGACGAACCTAATGTCGACTTCCGGTTGCTTCCAATCGGGACGATAATTTCCGTTCCTGCTGCTCTCTGCCCCTCCAACCGTCGTTCTCTCGTTCCTCTTTTTCACTTCGGGTTCAATTAGGTCGTACGAACGGTCCTTCAACCGTGCTCGTACCTTCTTGGTAGTTTGTGCGAATTAATTAGCGGAGAAGCGAAATCGTAAGAGTAAGAGGACAACGACGATCGAACAGATGGCGTTTTCTTAAATCGACGAGACGAAGAAAACTGAGACGACTGTGTGTAACCGGGGCCATTTTTGAGGGCAACAAAAATTTTGTTAATTGTGTTGTTGTGACCTATCGATCTTTCGGTAGTCTCGTTCGTGTTGAAACCGTAAAGAATTAATTGTTATTTAACGAAGTGCCAAAAAATGAGAGAAAGAATGTTACGTTTCCCGCGATGAATAGAAATTAAAACGTGTACAAAATGTGAAAATACAATGGACTAATCTGTACATAAATTGTTTTGTTCTTAGGATTTAGTGTTTCCGTTTCGTGCCTCTCTCGGTTTATAGATCGCGGTTGAATAGCGAGCCAAGAGCATCGATTTATTTATTCTACGTGTATAAAATTTGCGTTATCGATAGTCACGTTACGTTTGCTTCTGTAAGAATCGATCGAATTTCCACGATCGTACGGATCGAAAAACGTGTTTGTTCCTTTCGAAACCGTGGACGGACCTGATCGATCCCTCTGTACATATACAGGGTGAGGCATCTAAAACAGACGACTTGGATATCTCGACTATTGATAGAAAAAATATGTCACTCCAATTTTGCACGGTGTTAAGGAGCACATAATTTGATGTGAACCGTTTTTTGATAGATAGACCAGTAGAAGTCATATGAAGGTCAACTTCGTTTTTTTAAATGGAAAGACATGTATTTTTACGGAACCTTATAAATAGGTTATTACACGCGTCTTAAAACGCTCTATGAGATGGTACTTAAAACATGCTTTTCCATTTTAAAAAACGAAGTTGATCTTCATATGACCTCTACGCGTCGAACTATCAAAAAACTGTTTACATAAAATTTTGTGCTGCTCGATACCATGTAAGTTTGGTTGGACACATTTTTTTCTATCACTAAATAGAGTCAAGATATTTAGGTGACCTGTTTTAAGTACCTCATCCTGTATACAGTGAACCGAATCAAGCCTAGGCGTCAAGTATCGCGTTCGCCTGATCAAGGACATACGTAGATTCGCCCCTTTATTTTCGTGATTCTCGACAGGATCGACACGCGTCGTCTACGTATGCATAGAAATTGTGTACGATTGTGTGACAATGTACGAATTGCGGTTCAGTGTGCTTTATGTATAATATATATATCGTAATACGACGGATGTGTAATGGATAAAAAGATTGCGTATATAACGATCGCCGACGGAAGGAATTATTTAAAAACACGGTAGCAGCACGATCGAACCTTGTTCCTTTCATTCCATAACTGGGAAACGCAGAATTTCTAGTTTTTCAGCTGGAGAATTTCAAAATAAACAAAAAAAAAAAACAGTTTTGCGTTGATAACGATCGATCTTCCTAGCATGACTATAAATCCATCCTGAAATTTTCAATCCTTATGTATCGAGATTAAAATGAAAAAGAACCACTCTTTTCTAGGGAATATAATCTATCCTTTTCTAGAGAAACATTACTCTTCAACAAGATTTCAGACATGGACGGACCCGATGGTACACTGGGTTCGTTTTTATTTCAATCACCGTACATAGGAATTGACAATATTAGGGTGGTTTTATAGTTGTCACGCAGTATATACTGTTTAAAGTTCAGAATAACGTTCTCAGATACTGCTGTTATTCACCTATGTATTATTCGATTCTGCCCAACTCTGCCCTTCCGTAGCAAGGTTCGATCGCGACGTCCATGCAAGCCGACGACCGTGTGCATACAGGGTCGAGTCGCAGAACAACCCCCTTATACGCCTCGGACACCTTATCGCGCGCTACCACGAAGAAACGCGATCCTACAGCTCGCCTGGACAGGACGTATGTCTGTAAAAATCAGGTGATTCCGAGATGGTCCAGACCGAGGGGCAACGTGAGAAGTCATACGAACGCCTGATAGGGTTGTGTTCCGTTGGACGAAAAAATTGGAAAAACTCACGGGGCTACAGAGAAGAAGACGTGCGTGTATTGTTCTGCGGGGAAACCCTGTAAAACCGGTCGATCGCCAAAGAGGTCCTCTAGTCCCTCGTCGGAGAGATCCGAAAAGGCTGCCCCCCTCCCTTTAACTGTTCGCTACGCAACGCCCCATTGATCGGTCGCGATAACTGCGCGCGATCTATCTGGGGGCTGGGAATCGTTACTCAGCCAGGTAACCCCGCGTAATTATAGCTCGCAAGAATTTGTATTTACGTTTGTTGTAATAAAAAAAGGGACGAACAACGGCCGTTACATAAAAGAGTGATTGGTTTAGAAAGTCGAGAGCCTTTGGAGGCCTTGGCACCTATCCTCAACTGTTTTACTCTCCCTCTTTCTGGGCCTTGTTAGGAGGTTCACACTCTTCTGTTCCCCTCCACGAACACCCACGCACGATTTTCCTGTTTTTTTTCTCCTCTCTTTTCAGCTGCACACTACTAGCACACAATAGTTCGAGGCACGCGCGTGCTTGCCTACCGCTAATTAGCGCCGCGGTTTTCGTAAGATCGCGAGCGAAGATTGGCCGGGCCCCTCGCGCGCGATGAACTTTAGAAACGGAGAGGCTTGTGCAACAAAGAGCACCACCGTGAAATTATTGTATCGGGAGTATTTCCCCTCCATTTTCGAGCTAACAGCCGCGTGAAAGTGGACCGATTGTTCGTCGAGCGACTGGATTTTTCTTTCAACTTGTGAAACCTCGTGTTCTGTTCAGGAACGTGACAGGTTTGAGTGTCACGTTCACTTCGCTGGGACGATCTTGAAGCATAGTTTGGGATTGGAATTATCGAAGCTTCACTGTAATAAAGATTTCAGTACCCACCATGTCCTCCTGACTTCACGGTGGAAATGAAGTGACCCTGATCTCGTACTTGACTTCGTTCCAACGATATCACTTGGAAGAGCAACATAGTCTACCTCGATTTCTAGCATCGCTTAACTTTCCCGCCATCGCTATTAGATCGATTAACGCCGCTGAGCGAAGGACTCCCGATCGGTGGACCCTGACCGACAATAGAATCGAGGGAATTCGCGGCCACGAAGGACGCAACAGTGTTTTTCTGACGCTTTTTCCAATTCCTCGATCGGAATTCGTGTTTTATACGGCGGACCTTGGACTGATCGTTTATTTCGCGTCAACCGTGTGGACTCGTTCTCGCTGCGTTCGCAGGATTGACCACATTAACGTGCCCCGTGTAATTTTCAAAGCACGTGTGTGTGCGTGGAAAGCGGTCGATTCTAGTCAGGCCATCGACAAGGAGCGTTTACCGTGCGGTAATTTATTCGTCGGGTGTTAATGAAGTCAAACCCTACAGCCCCGAACACGGCAATATAGTTAGAGTCTACTGTACTTTCGGAACAGACCTCGTATTTGTGTGAAATAGAAGCGATGGGATGATTACTTTCTTTAGTTATTCTAACAAGAAGGTCCCTAACCTATGTAAGGCCCCTAATAAAAGTACTACGTACCTACCCTGTATAATGCCGCGCACCGAATAGAAACGATAGTGGACGTAAACCAGCGGTGGGCAAAGTTAGCTCGAGGAAGCTAAAACTTGTTCCCACCACCGTCCACGGTTACAATGGAGTAACAGAGATAAGAGTCTGGGCGTCTTTGTTTCTACCAAGGCACACGGTGCGAAAGAAAGGTTGGAAGGGGAAACAGGCGCGTGAGGTGCCCCTACACTGCCCAGCGCTGACGTAAACGAACGTCGACCGCTACCCAGCCTTCGTGTGTCCTACGAGAACCAGAGTTTCACGTCGAGTGCATAAGAAACGCGGGGTAATCGAGTGACTGGCCTTGATGGCCGCCCGGTACCGGCCAAGCTGAGCGAGAAACAGGTACATAAACGTACTTGCGTGTACACGCTCTGATCTATCGATTGATAGCTACACGCCTGGCTTTTAAAGCGCAGTGTACCTGGGGGTCTCCAGCCGCGGCGACGCTATTCACATCGAATTTATCTGATACTGGTGGTGGATACCTTGAAAACGGTCGTTTTTCAGGATCTAGTAGCAGTTGGAGTCCGATGGAAAGCTCTGCGAGACAACCGTGTCCGGTTGAAAGTAAAACGCAACCAGTGTTAACTACCAGGTGCCATTTATCGTAGAGTAGGGATGTTTGATTCCGATTCGATTCTTCAGAAGATCGATTCCCTTGAGGAACATGCCACAGCCATGTATAACACATACCAGTCAGTTAAATCTGCAAAGCCAAATTTTGTCCAATGCCTGCTATAATGTTCAGCAAGACCTGCTATCAACAACTTGCACGGAGATTGGTAGCATGACGTGTCTCGTGTAAATCAGCCGGCTGATGAATCCCGCGTGGAATCATAATGCCACTCGCGATCATTAGCATTAGGGGAGGGGAGAATTAAGCGGTTGTTAACTTTCTAAGCGTGGATAGAAATGGAAACAGAAAGGCATCCCTCCCCTATGTCGTAGAAAAATCACCTGGACGGGAGATGCAACACTAGAATGTATCGATCCCTGTTGCACACGCGCGACGGGATGCACTTGTCGGGATGAAGAAACGTAACGGTCCCTCCTATTGAGCCAAATCTCGCGACATCTGTCGTTCAGAAAAAAAAACACTGGAAGAATGTGAAACTTTCCACATTCCACAGAACCAAATGGGCTACAACCACAGACGAGATATATGAATAGACCTGACATGCAATGTATTTGTCTGTCCCATGCTTCGAGGGCGACAGAAGCCCAATTACCATTTTTGTGTCATACCCGACGTTACCGATAAAGCATGAATTCTGAGTATTATTAGCACAAATGAAGTATTACATATTCCATTCATATTGCGTGTACCTATATGATTTGACGGGAATAAAAATATCCCAATCATGAAACATTAAATTTTCGAGTCGCCAAAAATCCTCGCAATCATCATTCTTGTCGAAAGAAACAACCTATTTTGAAAATTTCATCCAATTGCGAGCATGGGGGTTTTCGGAAGTACAGCCACCAAATGTACTTGTTTATAACATTCCCTTAGTTACTATCAAAGAGTCTTGAACGTTGTATAAATAGTAAACTATAAGAAGTTATTCAACATTAATTGTTATTCTGAAAGAGTTTAGTAACTTCCAGAAGCTTCACAGAAATAAACTAAAAAACAAAAACTACATTTCCGCAACGAGAATAAGCTTACAGCATCATCTGGCGGAAGTTCCGCAAGGTATCAACGAATTCCACGTCGTTAATTAAAGTCCAGACACGATTGTCCTTGTAAAGGAGAACGCACAAAAGCCTAATTAAATTCACGTCGTAAATAGACCTATATGAACACTAGTATGACAAATATCTCCCTAAAGAAAGAACAAACTACGAATCACACCAGAATTCCTCGTTCAAATGTCCCACAATTCATTCCGTTGGAATATAACCTGACAATGTTCCGTCTAAATCGAAAAGTGTACTCCGATTCCGTCGCTTCGATGCTGACCTCAAGGGTCTAGCATCGTTTGACAGTTCAATCGCTCCGAAACCTCGACGATTCCCCCGACAACAGTCAGCTCTGGAGAACGTAAACAACGTGTTACGAAGCGGGAAACGGTGAAGTCCATTCAAAAGTGTGTAGTAGACGGGTCCAATAATATCCCAAAAGTGCACCACGTCAGGACCCCTGCCGACGATAATAGAACGCGACTCTATTCCGCGCGGCAGCTTCGGTATAATTTACAAGACAATATTATTCGCGGTGGCAGGTGGGAAAGGGGCCGAGGGGGTGTGCACACGAGTCCGGTGCTCGGCTGGGTGTTTCAGTACGCGACGAGACATCTCTCGGTGTGGTTCACGCAACCGTTTTCCTTGTTGCGTGTTCGCGTAACGTTGTTGCGTCTCGCGGAATCGGTTTGTCCACGCGCAAAACCGGGCACGTAAACCCATCCGTGACAAGAACTACAGTCGAAAAACACCAGGATGAACGAGAGGGACCTACAGTTGGCGAAGGCGATAGTGGATCTTCAGTTGGAGAAAAATGCCCCGAAGAAGACAGCGGTCTCAAGGATGCAGAATAAACAGCAGACGTTCAGGTGAGACGTTTAGCACACGCAAATAGTGGTCGCACGGTGTTGTGTTGTGACCTTTGGCGCGCGCAGGGACTGGGAACTGATGCGATAGCGCCTTTAGGGATAAGGACACGTCAATCGCCGTGCGTTTAACGCGATCGGCAGGTAACAGGACCCATGATGATCGATCGTTTGGATGATTGCTGGATCCTGGATGTTTAATTCCGTCAGTTAAATTCAAGCGACTATGCGCTAATGTCATCTGGACATCTACAAATCAGGCTTGATTCTAAAGTGGACGCAACCGGCGATTGTCGTGGCCGATCTTGCAGCAGAATTAATAGAAACTGTTCTCCCTCAAAATAAATCGACTAGGCCTGTCTCGGCCTCGTTCCGCGTGACGATAAAGTCTGTAGCGTTATAAATAAATGAGCGTGTTCATTGATCGGACAGGTGGTCGCGTACATACGACGTCGTTGTTATCAACGATAATTCCCTTGAAGCGAACACGGACGCGTAAAAAAGTCAAGGCCAAATGTGCTCGATGCGTTTTAATATTGATCGAGCAACAGGGATCAGGTCACTGACGGCTCCGTGTTCCCAAGTGCGATGGTGGTGTAATGGTCAGCATAGTTGCCTTCCAAGCAGTTGATCCGGGTTCGATTCCCGGCCATCGCACATGATTTTTTTCCCCCGTTTCTTTTCTCTTATCTACCAAGTGTATTCATTCTATTTTACGCATGTATCAATGCAATTGCAAATAAATTTTTTTTTCTTCAATCTATACCGCTTAGACTTTACGGTTCGATGATCCACATACGACAGCGTTTCGTGTTGCAATCGAAATGGAATATCAATGAATAAAGCAGATCGATTGACCTCGTTGCTTTTATTGGAATATAAGATAGATGTCTCAATTATTGCGTGTTTCATTAAAAAAAAATAGTTTTATATATTAAATATGAAGAATTAATAATTAATTAAAATTTACACACATGTATTTCTTTATATAAATCAGAGTTTCAATTTAATAATAAAATTTTTTCTTTGCACAATTCTTTTTTATTAAGTAAAATAAAGAAAATGGACACTATTAGGAAGACTGACAGTAATTGGGATATTTACCCTATCGTTCTGAAACGCACTGTTAGGTCGAAATGTCCCTTCACTGAAATTGATTTGGGCGATCTAGGCCAAGGCTGTCGACGGCGGACCTTGCCACTCTTATTGGTAACAATACTCTCCCTTTTGGAATAGTATATGTAGAGCAACCGATATGGGTATACGTTTCTTGTACGATGTAACTAATTGTTGTTACGTGTCATTTTCCTGTTGTACACGATTATTCACGCGACCGTGTTCGCGCCCCAGGGTTATTTTCACCATTAGTAATTTTCCAGACGGGAAACGCATTATGCAATCGTTGCAAATAGTCATACAATCTGAAGGTTGAATATTGATACGAACAAGGTAACACTTGGACTAACACCAAATGAATAATATTACCATAATATTCAGCTTCATTTTGAGACCTTCATCGCACATCCGACTCGATATTATGAGCCGGAGGAGAGGGTCAATATCGTGAAGCAACGAAGTCTGTCACGCGTGATCGCCACAGGGCTTTAATTCTAATCTTCAACGGGAACGCACTGAAATGAAGGGTTTCTAGCAACGAAGCCAAGGATACCTGCTTGGCGATTGTAATATCGAGGTTACCACTCGCAATACGCATCGCTGTATCGTTGTGGAGATCATCCGACCATGAAATTCGCGAAGCTCTATCGTCCGTGACAAATAGGTGTCCCCATGAGTTGTCACGGACACGATTTTAAAAAAAAAATGTATGGAGTGTCCCATTTAAATCGCCTCGCTCGAATATCTCCGAAACTATTGACGATATTAAAACATGTTTCAGACAAAAGTCAAATGGTACCAGGGGGGACACTTTCTGATGTTCGTTCTGAAGTTTTTTCTACATGGACGCTCAGAGGTCATATGAAAGACACCTATGTTTTTTTAAATGGAATCGAATATTTTTGAATGCACTAATTAACTTAAAGTAACTTAGTAAATTATGTAGAGAATAACAACTAGCATCAAACAGTGCATTAAAAAATATACGATCCCATTTTAAAAAATGCAGATGACCATATGACCTCTGCGCGTCAACATAGAACAAAATTACATCAGAAACTGTGCTTTCTAGTACCATTTCACTTTTGTTCGAAACATTTTTTAATATCCTCAACACTCTGTATTTTTGTATTTCAATATTATTAATCACATTACAGTTTACTCGTTTTACTGACATATTATAATATTCTCTCTCTCTCTGTTTTTTCCTTCAAGCAACTCGCGGTCCGAGTTAACGGTCGATTGCATCGAGGCGGCGGAACCGCGAAGGTAAAGCAGTTTTCTACTCTTTAGCCTGTGTGTCCCTTGCAACTGGCGCCACCAGCATGACGAGGAAAAAACGTATCTCCTCCTGTTGTTGTTCTTCCCCGCAAACAGAGCGTTGTTGGTTCTCACGTGGAACACAATCGGAAACGAGGTGCGTCTATATGGGTTGCGATGATCGAAATTTCTCGTCTGTGACGTTTATACGATCCTAGCGTGTCTCCTTCTTCGAACGTTCGAAGAAGTACAGGTCCGCCATGTACAGGCTGATACAAAAAGAGGGTTCGTAACTTCTAGGGTAGATATAGTACTCGTCAAATGACGAAAAAAAAGTCATAGTAAACATGGATAGAAAAATTAATATTTTCAGACTTATAAATAATTTGTTGTTTGGGTTAAAGAAAATGACTTACCGTATGGAAACAAAAAAGAAAATTATAAAAGGAAACCAATGAAAATTGTCAAAAACCTCCTGTATCCAGGGAAAGAAGAAATACAGTAAATCCTCGATGAGTATTCGAAGATTCCTCGGTACTGACAAGGAAAGGTTCCCAGATGTAATGCTGACTTTTTGATGAGGTTTAGCACAGTGATAGCGTAGTTTATGAAATATTTAATGTTCAGTATCGAGGAGCCTTCGAACACCCATCGAAGATTTACTGTAATATGATAATCCATTGTTTCCAAACGTTACGATAGTTTCCTAATCGAGAAAGTCACTAGCTTTAACCGAAACAAAAAATTGTTTATAAGTCTGAAAGTATTCATTTCTCGATCATGTTTATCAAGACTTTTTTTCTATCTACCCTAGAAGTAATGAACCTTTTTTCTGTATCACCCTGTGTAGACGCACGTCCGCCCCAGTCGTGTCGCTTCGTATCCCCTGTCTCATTTTTGTGTCAGCACATTGCCCGTATCTCTCCTCACTGTTTTGTTATGCATGCGTTTTGTCTGTCTGGCCCAGCACGATTAGCTTTGTAGTTGTCCTAGATCGTACCAGTAGCCTTTTCGTAGATCCTTCCTTCAAATTGTCAGACACCTAGACCGATCGACACCCAACGACGACGAAATCACCTTTGTTCCGTCGAGCATTCCGACGCGCGACATTTTTGTCATAACCGAGAGCGACCGGTACGCAAAAAGAAACTAGCTTTCGATCGAGTGTGTTGTAAATTAACCTTGAGTCTTACAAGGCACTTTCTCGGGCTATGCCGGTGTGATTGATACGCGTAGAGAACCTGTGGCATGCGTCGAGCATACCGGGTCACTATAGACCCAACCACTTTTGGCATAAATTAGTGACAAGACGATTTTTGAGGTGGAACTTATAGGTGACACTGAGATTACTCGCAGATTTTAATGAATTTTTAATTAATTCTTTACATTGAATGTATAAAACTATGTTTTTTTAACGAAGTGTGAGGCAAGACTGCATATGCAAATTTCATATTACATTTAACATACCCGAGGCAGAGCTCTCATGGTTAATCAGGCCGTTGAAATCATGCTCTTAAATCGTACAGTCTTTAACGAAACAGAAATATCTTTTTGGCAAGGTATTCGATACAAATCCTCGGCTCGAGATCCGCTAACTCGTGGCGGTGTAGGTAATTGACTTCTCCATAACCAGTAAGAACGCTATCACTTTCAAGATCATAATGTCATTGTCGGCCGTTCGACAATAACGGCCTTCGTTCCGTTATAGATCAAGGAAAACTGTGTGTTATATATTGTCGCTGTTGTCCCTGTACGTCTGATAATGATCCATTGTTAGATGCATTTCAAGGGGAACAGTTAACCGTGTGACGACCCAATTCGTCACGAGGGTCTCCATAACACTTATCACCCTGGACGATGACTATAATCCCGGTTGATATGAGTATCAGCGACACAAGACGTACAAACATGTCTGACTTAGCTCCGGTACACTAGATATCCTGCTTTATCTCATTGTTTGGGGTCATCATCTATTTAAGATCTTTGATCCCGTGGACGTGACCGTGCTTTCACGTGATCCAACCACTTTCGTACATTATACAATGTTACCACGGTATCAGAAATCATTCTGCAGACTTTGCAGATTTCACTGGAATATAAAGTCTCTGTACCATTTCTGCTTCAATGTAGCTCGACGATCGGTTCCGACTTTTAACGCAAACACATCGATCCTCGTCGTATCTCTGGTCTTTACGTTTTTCCATTTCGATATCTTCCTCGATCAAACTCGAAACTGATACCAGGCACACGTAGTCTGATGAATAGCCACCTTGGAGCAAGATAAAGTGTCTCTCTGTCTGCAGAAGTGTTTCGCCTGGTGTCTGCTACCATCCAGCGAGGAGCTAACAGTTAAAGCACCGCGATACCACGCTCGTCTCGTGACAGAGATTAATTCTGAGAATATACAGGGTGCACCACGAAGCGTGATCAGTTTCGATTAATCCGCTGCTAGCTGTTCGATCGAACATTTTGCATGACTCCTTAATGTGTCTTTGGTTTAGAAGAAAAAATATTGATGCCTGCCGAAATCGTCTCAGTATCCTCTAAAAGGTGGTCGTAAAAAAATAGCAGGTTTATCCATAAGAAAACTGAAGGTGACCTTGAAAACTCTGGTAAAAAAGGGCTGACAAAACATTTGGTACAATCATCTTGAAGCATGTTACATCAGCCAAAAAACTTTTCGATCGAACAGCCTAGCGGTAGAATATAATCTTAGCTGGTCACATTTTGTGGTCCACCCTGTATACCCTCGGGAACTATGCCGAAGAGGCGCGACGTCGCGTGATTGCGTGGACTTTGTTTTGGAGCAGAAGTGTTTTCAGCGTGTTACGCGATAAGCGTCGATTATGTCGCAGGTACATTAAACGCCCACAAACGATAATGGGATTCACGTGACGAATCCATTGATCGATTGGAAATCACGATCGTTCGGGCAACAGCCGGAGGCGAACAATATTTTCTTGCCGGTTAAATGCTGGGTTATCGCGGAGGTTCCCGCTTATCGTTGGAGATTTTTGTTTTCCTTCCTTCCCCGACAATGCACCACCGTTGAGATGGGATTCGAGTGTTCGTTGTCAGCTCTGGCCGTTCTCAGTATCGTGGTGTCCGGTATATAGTGATGCAACGTGGTGGAAGTATCCTCGGCAGGGCGGTTCTCCTCAAACGGAACACGAGTCTTGGTAAAACCATCAGGTAAACACACAGCAAACGTCTGTGATACGTTTTATTGATTAAATTCAGACGTGAAACCAGGAATATTTCGTTCGGTAAAATTCAATGTCACTGCCAGCGACACGATGTCGTAACAACGACGATCGTGTGTGTTCACGAAACGTTTTAATAATTAATGAGCGAAATCCAATAATTTTCCTCGCCCAACGAAACAGAATTCTTTGGAACCTGACGTTATCGATGGCGTGAAAAATACGTGGGGAAAACGTACGATCGATGAAACTGACGAATCTCTGCCGTGCAGTATCGATTAATATGGATAATTGAGTTTTGTGTTACGAGTCGTGGCGATTTTGTTGGTATGTTTATTGAAATTTTTTTCATGGCTCAGAACAACGTAATTTTTGTTAATATTGTGTTAAATAGGATTTGTACGTGGTTGTGTTTGTGCACAATTTTGTTTTGTGGTGAAAAAAAAATTTTGCACTGCCCGGGAATCGAACCCGGGTCGCAAGAATGGGAATCTTGCATGATACCACTACACCAGCAGTGCTACTTGCAGACGCTGCTTTATTTTCGCAGGTATATACTGCAGTCCACTGCAAACATTTAATTTATATCGCGTGAAATTATAGTGTAATTGCAACAAAATTGCAACAATGATACTAACAACATAAAAAATTATTAATTGTAAATAAAATCTTAACTTTTCATTTCTTTATGGATAGGAACAAATACATACGTGACACAATTCTACAAAAGGTTAACAATATAAATTATTCAAATAAAATTAATAAAAGAAATAAATTCCTACTGCATGTAGCACTGCTCTGAACACGTTTTCTTTAAAATTAAATTATATATTGATTAATTCTTCGTGTGAAAAATATTTAAATGCTTCAATAATAATTGTTTTCGGACAAGTACCAAATATCGTCATAAAGTTAAGAAATAGGGGAAAAAAAGTAATGTGCGATGGCCGGGAATCGAACCCGGATCAACTGCTTGGAAGGCAACTATGCTGACCATTACACCACCATCGCACTTGATGGAACTTTCCGTTTTTTCGGTAGAAATCACTTATTATGACACAATTTCTCATGAATGTAACTCAATGTCACGTTTTATTGCAAAATTGTGTAATTGCTCACTGTCAAGTTCACCGTTGGCGATTTAACGGAGGCAACGCGATATTCGCATGCCTGGTAAATATTCCCTTCCAGCACGACCCATTCCTATCGCCTCGTGAACGTAGAAGGACGCAATGCCTCATCGTAGACCACAATGTCGTCGTTGAACCGCTGGTTTTATGTTCCCCCTGTGAGAAAGTATCTCATTTCGCGGAATGCAGAAAATACCGCCTCTGTTCGAGCTTCCTTCTCGTAGAAAGTGTTTATCTAGTTGGAAAACGTGCGATAGGAAAACTAATAACTATTTAGGAATTTTACTATAATATCGATTTGAACCTGAACACTTCAAGGTGAGGTGCCCAGGTGTAACGGTTTTAATGAGGTACCAGCACAGTGATAGAGCTTGGAATTCTGAAGTTATGTATAGTTTATGAAATATTTAATGTTCAGTCCCGAGGAGCCTTCGAGCACTCATCAAGGATTGACTGTACATCGTGATACAATTTTTCCTAGACACCCTGAATTTTCGTATTTCGTGTTATCTATTACAACGAAAAATTCGTGCATGATATATCGTACGGCCCTGGAGCATGGCGCCAGTGTTTCAGCGGAGGGACATATTTTGGCTCGCCAATCCACGTGTATCCCTGGCCCCATCGGTTTTGCAACCACGGTGCCGGCGGCCGCAATAAATTTTGATCACTTTCA